TTGCCGTTGCAAAGGCGCACTGATGATGACTCGCACGAAGAACTTCAACAGGTGCCCCATTTTAAAGACGTCCAATTTGAGATTCAAATATGGTATCTCCGAGCAAAACAAAGAAAGCGTCCGTCGAAATCGAGACTAAATACTTCAACACGGAGGCTTCTCGGACCAAATTAGGTCTCTACGAGTGGTCAGATGGAAACAAACCACAAGAATACCTCGGCCCATCCCGAAGGACTCCCGCTCGCCAGATGCGAGGCTATCTTGGACTGTTACGGGCTGGGAACCGCAGGCATACGAGTTATCAACGTAACCGTAATCGACGGCAATATTAAGTCGACTATAATGCTTTGAAAAGTGAACGAAGCGCGAACGGACCACCTCTGACGGTCAGAAGTTAGACCGGTCGGACTATGGGACGAATCCACCGGCAGCGACACCCCGGCTCCTACCACCAAAAATTTTAATTTGCTTGGCAAGCGGATGCAAGGGCATTCGGCCTAAGGGCCGTTTAAGGCGCGGGGACGGCCAACAAACGAATCAATCATCGACTCGCTAAGCGAAATCATGAAACTGAACAGGTACGAAGGCGCGGAAAGATTTGGTCCCCAGCAAAAATATTCTTTCAACCACAAAAAGAGGTCGAATTTGACACTTGGCCAGGGAACAGGTCGGGCTCATACGAGCTCTGGCGCCACGAAAACCCCTCAGGTACGAGAATGTACTCGCAAGAGCAGATCGAACGAGTTCAAGCAGGCCTCCACTTGCGGTTGGAAGATGGAGTTAGAAGGAACGCACTTCGGAGCCGGTTCACCGATAGCGACACATCCGGCCTCATTCCATCCAACGTGAATCGTACATGGTAAAGTGGACAGAATTCATTAACTTAACCCATAATGGCGGATGAAAGCAGGAAACCGTTTTTAACCGCCCAATTTAAACAAATAACCGGAAGTTCTACGGATTCGGCCGCTACGAACAGCGGTAAACCGGACCCCTAACTACGGCACCAAGGTACGGAAAGTTACCTAGGTGAATCTTAGTAAAGTGAAACATCGTTCCGATGCATTTTCTTGCCGAAAACAATACCATGACTTCAACATGTTTTAACACTATCCCTTAACACTGTAGGGCCGCCCGGCCGAGGCCGTGGCCCAGGTCGAGCTCGGCCCAGAGAAGGCCAGGGTCCAGGCCGCGGCCCGCTGTAGGCGTTTAATGTGGAAAATGAAGTAGAACAACAAAAAACTATTTTTGGGATTTACTGAAATTCATTGTTCTTCGAGGAGTTTTTCTTTGTTTTCGCACAAATAAACGTTTTGTGGGCAGATATCCGTGTATTCTTTAACATACCCTTTGTAGCCGCTTGTACAATGACAACTGGAATGAAATATATCTGTGCTGCTAGACGGCCCTGGCCGCGGCCTCGATGTAAACGACGGCCGCACCTCTTACTCAGGCCGGCCAGGGCCGACCCAAAACTATCTCTTAGGCGACAATCAAACGATTTTCTGCGGCACTATTACCGGCTTCAAAATTACGGTTCTTACTGTTTACAGTACCACGACATGGCACCACTACCGATACAGAACCATTGTTGACTACCGTGGATGCAGGAGACTTCCAGTACCAGTACGATTCTCATTAATTTGTCATCAAAGGTCACTCCTTGCTTGAGCAAAGGTCGCACAACAATCTTGCTTATTTGCCTCTGCTTTCATCTGGCGCTGGCGTTATATTTGTTCCTCTGCAACCAGCTGGAGACACGCTACGGGTTTTGGATCCGTCTCTTCTACGTCGACTGGATAATGGCGTCGGATTCTTTAGGGTAAGGTTCCAGATAAGGATTCCAGAGCTTCCCGGATATAGTATTCCATTTCGAGTACTTCTTCGTAACAATTTCAGAAAAGAGTCGCTCTAACGATGTTTTCGTGGTCGGTAGCGGTATGAAAATGCAATTGTCGCAGAACCTTCTTTACCGCGTGTAACAGCAGGAAAGGTCGTCCGTTCTTCTGTCTTTCGCCGTACGCTCCCGCTATAAACGACATCAGTATTCTAAAGATTTGTTCCTAGCTTTCGCTTTCACAAACAAATTTCGCCCAAACCGATCATTGTTCCAGAAAACCACATTAAACGGCACTGGCAGTAATTTTTGGTTTCTTCATTCAGATTCTGTTGTAACGTCACCTCCAGCACTGATCACGCAGAGTTAGTCTGCTATAAGCCTATACCGTAATGGACACCTTTTGGGCGCCTCAACAGTTTTCCCGTTATGGAGGGGTTGTCGCATTAGGGAGGCAAGGGATTGTACCCACAATACACATCGCGCTTCTTCACTGCGTTCCCGCTTTTCTCACTGGAATCATCGGAAAAATTGAGTGGCCTAACATTTTCTAGTCGGGGTCCACAATTTATTCGAACAGAGCGTTTGACAAATTAGCTTACGGCTATTCTGCGGACCAGACCTGGGCAGTTAATTTTAACTATTTAACTTAACGCGAGTTATTTTCGAGTTATTGAGTTATAACTTAACTCTTTAGCGTAACTCGCTCAGAAGAAAACTTAACTCTAACGTAACTCTCATAAAAATAGTATATATTGTCTATGGTAGCGTAACTAGGGTTGTTAACGGTGCGGTGCGGTGTACACCGGTGTGGCTTCGGTGCGGTTTTTTACAGAAATCGCACCTACTTAATCGGTGTAAAGCGAAAAACCGCACCGGACGGTGTCGTGAAAATCGAAAATCGCACCGCAATTTTTTACACCGCACCGCACCGGTGTACACCGGTGTAGCGCGCATCAGTACTGCAACAGCGAAATGTTACGCGCTCTGCGCTTTCCTCTTTATCCCACCGGAATTTTTGGGCTTAAGTTAAACTTCCTAAAAGCATCCCCAGCAGGATGTATCCAGTCGTAGCGAAACTGTTACAAAGACGTAAAACATCCAAAAGGGATTTCCAAAAAATTTCAATGACGAAAAAAATTGTAGAGCGTGGAAACTGTCAAACGCTTGCGCTACAGTGCTTCACATTTTCTTTCTTATGGTAGCCCGGTTGTTGCAGCAGCTACAGTATCAAGCCGATAATTATTCAAGCCAGCTTCAAGTACAGTACTGTATAACTTGTGAGTGAATATTCCAGAAGATGCGCAGAGTCAAAACGCGGACTTACATAGAGCATCTGCGACTTACATCGAAACGAGAAACAGGCGTACCAAGTCCCAATTGGCTGGGCTTCGATGTAAGTCGCTTTTTGCTCGATGTCTGTCGGTAGGCGTCGACGAAAACCGTTACGAACAGGGGCGTACCTTGTAACGGTCTAAGCGACGCCCAGGTACTACAAACTTCGTGTTTCCGCGATTTTTTATTGGTGGGTCAGCATTCTGAGTTAGATCGAGGCTGCCCACCGCCAATAGCAAAATTCAAAACCACGTGATCGTTTCTCCATACTTTGGGCTGACAGCGACGGTTAAACAGTAAAACGACAGGGTTTTCCGTCTTTTTTAAGTTTTTAAGTTCTTGCCTTCTAGTTTGTTGTTGAAATCAGAAATATGAAACTGATATGCATCTATAGTGCAGGAAGCCTGTGTTCTGGGAATCCAGATAAGACAGTGCAGTATAGTGTTTGGCCAGATGCACTCCTGTTTATACTGATCGCTTGCTACCTGATTATCGTTCAATTCAAAATAATTTGAATCCCACCGCAGCTGACTAGCGTATTACAAATTGATTCCGACTTGCCAAAGGTCCATGAATCCTTGTGGCTGTCTCTAACGATTTGTGGTATACTTGTCATGTATTACTGCCGTCGTATCGCAGGGAACCCTGCGCGCTGGCTACCCAGCTGTGGGTGTTGATTGCAGTGCATTCTGTGCTTGAATTCCTGATCGGATGTGGAAAACCGACTACGATTTATACTCCTGGACAACCCCATTTTTGGTTTTTCGTCCGTATATTTTGACAGAGAATTGTATGTTTTTCTTGACCGTGTGGCGGGTTCCCGCTGTGATCTGGCTACCCAGAAGTATTTTTAGTATATCTTGTTGTATTTTTTTGTTTATTTTAGCTTAAAATAATACTGCATAGCAGTACCTTAGCGCGCCTTGTTTTGGTACTTTTAAACAGGTTATATGTCATTGTTTAACTTTTAGAAATGTAGTGCTACAGTTTATCGTTAGAAGCATAATGTCAGCACAGCACGCATATTAACTGTCAGTCTGTATGTGCTGACTGTTGTGCGCATGCGGTCGAGTTTAGCCCGTACATACATACATGCAAGACGCGTAAACGGGCGCGGTTTTGCGTTCGATGTCTGTATGTAAAGGGTGACAAACGTTGTAAGTAAGTCCCCGAAGCGCCTATGCGCATCTGGTCTATTTTGTACGTTACAGACTTACGCCCGTCATGGCCCGTGCGCTTATTAGGCGCGAATCCGGTGTGCACCGTCGTCTCATAAAATTTTTCTTAAAATTACAATTTTACGATATCTTCGGTTAACCGGTGGTTAACCGGTGTACGTCAACGCGGTTACCCAAACGCACCGGTGTGCGCCGGTGTGGTTTTTCTCAAAAACCGCACCGCCTGCACCAATTTTTTTCTCAAAACTGCACCGCAATTTTTCCAAATTGCACCGGTGCACTGGTAAAAAACCGCACCGTTAACAACCCTAAGCGTAACTCGCGGTGTAACTCGAAATTCGGTTTCCCTGCATAAATAACTTAACTCTTAGCGCAACTCGCACGCTCCCTGTAACTCTTAACTCTGACTGTGGGTCGATTTTCCATAACTGCCCAGGTCTGCTGCGGACTATACTGGGGCAAAATAGCTTATGGCTATTTAAGCGCAGTGTGGGGCAAAATAGTAAAAGGCTATTTTGCCCCACATACTGGGGCAAAATAGCCAAAAGCTATTTTGCCACAAACACTGGGGTAAAATAGCCACTTCGATAAAATTTTGCTGATATTCTGAAAATTTCGTTCGCTTAGAAATCCAGAAGTGCGTCTGAAATCGCAGTTTAAACTGGTAAAATTTCTGTGGCAACAGATTCCATCATGTGTCTTAATCCGACATCGGATACCAGCGGCATCAAAACCATCACTGGCAGCACGAAACACCGTGGCGGTGTTGGAGAGCTCGCAGATCGCATGAAACACATGTTGGCCAGCGGAGAGTTCACTGATGTGCAGTTCGTCGTGGGACGCCAATTTGGCCAAGATAAAGTGTTCTCTGCACACAAGTAACCGGTTTATTATCACCTGAGAGACCTAATTTTAATACGATGCAGGAATTTGTATCAGTTTTAAATTACGAAATTGGTATCAGTTTTAAATTAAATTACGATAGGTTCGAACTTCGACGTGAAATAACCGCAGTTTTTGCAGGAGTATTTTGTGTAACAGCAGCAAGGTGTTCTACAGCATGATTTGTAACAGCGTGGCTGAATCGTGTCCGTTGGTTATTCACTTTCCTGACATTCCTTCCGACGCGTTCGCCAACCTGCTCAGTTATGTTTACACTGATTCGGTGGAAGGCATCAACGAGACAAACATCTTTCCAACGCTGCACTGTGCTGACAAGTTCGGTTTGCCTTTATTGGTGGATGCCTGCTGCGAGTGCATCATCGGCTGCGTTACTAAGGAAAACTGCCTAACTATGCTGGAAAATGTTGGTTCTCCACGGATGATGTGCAACACAGTACACTGTAGTGACTGTACAATGAATAAAGTTCGACACATGCTTTTCGCTGCAGGTCAACCGTTGGTGCCCGGACTTGGACAACATTGTGGACAAGTGTATGGACATTGTCGATGAATTTGCCGACGCTATATTGCGCTCGGAGCAGTTCAACAGCATTGGTCATGACAGCCTGCTGATGATTCTCCAGCGTAACTCTTTGTCTGTTGATGAGAATGTCGTTTACGTGGCTGTAGAAAAGTAAGCGAATTTGTAATGAATTATTTAATCTTTTAAATTGACAAATTATTATACCGTTTAATAAAAATTAAATTTTTAAATCATAGTTATTGAAACTTGACTTTTCCTTATGATGTGTATGCAGCCTTGAACGGGGTCGAACCCCAGATTGTGTGCGGTGTTAAACTGTTAAATCTGAACTTATATCAATAACTATGCTGTACAGTTTGCGCTGAAATTCTGAATACCATATCCACCTTGTCTCGTAGTTGGTCGATGGAGGCTTGTGAGAAGCGCAGCCTGGAACAGTCCACCGCCAACCGTCGCGAAATGTTGGGAGCCGCGCTCTTCCTTGTCCGCTTCCCTTTACTCAACGACATTGAACTCGCTGTTGGCCCTGTTCAGGTAATTCAGCCGTGGCTGATAATGATAGTCCCGTTCCTTCGATCACGATGTAGTGTTAAAGCAATTGACCTGGAGTACAGACCTGTATTGTATATTATTGGCTTTATTTAGCTTTCTGGCTGGCAGACTTATTACTGAATGAACTGTTGCAGGTCTGATAATATTTCTAGTCAACAGTTATAATGTTGCTAAGCATACATTACAAGCACTTGCTTGTAGAGTGCTTTACTGCTTTCGACGGAGCTGCGTGACCTGTTCCTCTATAAGCACGCTCCGGAAAAGCCGGCCCTCCCGTTCTCGACGGAGCCGCGCCGCTACATCCAGCACAACTTCGACCTGGATGCGTATAAGAACCGCGAAGCTGTGTTCGCGCAACACGCGACGATGGTGACTGGTATCCGGCCGAGTTTATTATGGAACTCGATTGTCAAAATATTATTATCCAGTGGTGCGGAAAAGGGCATGCGTTCAAATCGATGAGGACGATCGTCCGTGCGACCGATATTCTTCAGCGCGGCCAGCGGGTGCACTGCTTGCGGGGCGGGGCTACGTACTGTATGCGGCGCGGAGGAAAGCACGTGGTGGAGATCGACAGCCAGGAAGTAGCGGTTGATTTTGAGGATCTGACGGTGCCGTGGAAAGTCTGGCTACACTGGAAAGTTAAGGAAATCGCGCAACTGTGATGACTCCCCCGCCGACACCAGCGTCGAGCGAAATGTACTTAGTGTTTTTAGTATTCGTACTGTATTGCTTTGTATGATTATTTCGTAACTGATAGTGAGATTCGTCTCATGGATTGCAGCATAACGCGTTATTCTTTACCGGCTCGGTTGACAAGAAGCGGAAGACCAGAGCGGTTTTATTCATTTTTGTTTCTTGCTTGGAATCGTTGTTTTTGTTGTACCTGGTTCACTTTATTCTTCATAAAGGAATTTCTGTTCGAAGTGTTGATTGTCTTCGTCTCGTATGGTAAAATTAATTAGCGTTTGGAAACAGCCGCGAAATGACAGAAACGGTCATATTATGCCGTATCGGTTAAAGTAACGGCAACGCTGTGCACCCTGCATTTAAGATAACTACTGCTGTTAAGCGAATAGAATTCTCGAGCATTAAAAAAAGCCGAATACTCCCCCCATTCTTCCGGTACCGGAATGGGGATTATCTCACCCGCGGAGCCGTAGACCGGTTTTTGAAATTACTGCTGAAAGATCACCCGGATTGCGCGCGACTGAGCACGCACAGCTTCCAGCATCGGAGCCGCTACGGAAGCCGCGGAGCAACAACTCCCAAAGGAGGAAGTCCAGCGCGCCGGGAGGTGGAAGAGCAACTGCGTGGAGCGGTACATCCGAGTAGCTTGTTTGTGGGGCGAAGAAGCCGGGTACCGGCGGAGGGTGCAGGGAGTGAGCGACCTGTTCCCACAGGTAAGATCCTCAGCTGCAATTGCGCACCTCCGGCCATGCCGGCACACTTCAAACTCCAAAACCGCACGCGGAAGTCGCCTCTCACACCATCGAACTCCGGAACCACATCGCGAATTAAAGGCTAATTCAAATTGCGGCTTTACACAATATATGCACATGATAAAAGTCACAGACAGTAGCCGCCACTCACTGGCCTTACATAATGCCGCCGGATAACCAGATTAATGCAGGGAACGGCCCATGTACAAGCTGGGGATCATTACCGGCTGAATTGCATTAAACATTTTATTTTTAGTCTTAACTGAAATAGGATATTCGATACATGTATCTTCAAGACAAGATTCAAATCGTGTAACACTTCACGCTCCATTTCCGGGTCGGGAGTGTCGGACCAGTACCGAGTCGTACGTAGTAATAATCAATAATAGTATTGTAATTTGTAACAATATCTCCCTGTGTTGTAAATATGTTATGTGAATACGTTGCAATTGACTACACAATCTTCAGTGTCTACAGTAGAAAAGGGAATGACAAACACCAATGCATTTTCTTCGTGATCGGTGATTCGTTTCCAAACACGTACTCTACGGTAGGTGATACCGAATATTTCACCTTCATGATTTCATGATTTTCATCAACTGGATTCAGACGCACCCGCCTGGCTGGCAGTCTAATCGTGAATGGACATTGGTCTATGGAATTTTAACGGAGCCGCAGTCACGGACGGCCGCCTCGGTGCACTTTCTGATAAATGCTGACCTCGTGCGGTCAGCAGTTTGACGAATGATCCAATGATCTGTTTTCGGCGTGCACTGTGCACATCAAGAATTCCGTCAGTGCAATCCTGCAGCAGATCTTCGTCAGCAGTTCTTGGCTATGGACTTTGATCTTCTTCACTTCTTTGGTGATTTCGGCGTTGAGTTGTTTGTGGGATTCTCTTGCCTGGTGATCTTGCAGTGATTGGCAAAACGTTGTTAAATTTTGAATCTATTACGAGCTTGCACGAAGGCATCTGTATCCGATATCGATAGCTGCCTGTGTTATACGTTATAGAGAGCAGAAGGACTTCGCTCCGTTTCACTGCAGGCATGTCGAAAACGGCGCCACGCTCGACAAAAGCAAAAGCCAGCACCCCACGACGGGGCCAGATTGACGGGGTCATCAAGCGGTTGGAACGCATGTTGGAGAGCGGAGATCTGAGCGACGTCCAGTTCTCCATAGGACGGGATGTCGGACCAGTGAAAATCCTGAACGCACACAAGTGAGCTCAATAGTCATTACCCACTTAATCCGCGTATTACTGCGAACCGTATGAATGCAGTCCTTTGCTGATCCGTACTTTTGAACAGGTTCGTGCTCAGCAGCGCCAGCGATGTGTTTTACATTATGTTTAACGGGAGTCTGCCCGAGAACCGCAACGGTCCCATAGATATTCCGGATATCCCTCCTCAAGCATTCCAAAATATGCTGAAGTAAGTATGACTTCGCAATCTGCCGGAGTTTAAATTATTAGAACCAGTCCAGAATTAAAGTGTCAGCGAACCAGCGCCACTGGTTCGCTGGTTCGTCTGAAAGCTGGTTCGTCTGAAACTACGTTTTTGTGGGTAAAAGTCGAAGATATGTACTGCGACAGGTACATCTACACCAGCGAGAAGCAGGTGACATTGGATGATGTCTATGCGACAATGCAGTGCGCCGACAAGTACGATTTGCCACTACTGACTGACTTCTGCCTTAATTACATCATGCAGAATCTCATCGCGGACCACGGCAACACAGCCCGATACCTACTGCATCTGGAACATGTATGTCTGCTTAAGACTGCCCTTGTGCATGCGCCGCAATTGACAGTAGTCTCGCTGCTTGACATTTATTCGATTTTTCTGCAGGCACTGACCTGGGCCGTTGGATTTGATAGTGTGGTAGAAAACTGTCTGCATTACGTAGACGTGCACTGCAAGGAACTCTTCAAAATGGAAGAATTCAGTGAACTACAGCCCAGCACGCTGCGCACTATTCTGGAACGCGATACGTTGTTTGCCAACGAAAACCTCATTTGTGTGGCTGTGGATCGGTAAGGTGACTAAGGTCTAGCTAAAGATAGATTGCAGATGCGTTCAGGCCCGCGCTGGGGGGTTTTTGGTAGGGGGCCAAAAATTGAAAACGAGAGGGGTGGCCGCCCCCATCGCCCCCCTTCAAAGCGGGCCTGGATGTAATTAATAACCGGGATCCGTGCAGTTATCGTTTTATTTTCGCAGATGGGCGGTAGCTGCTTGTACTCGGGGCAATTTGGAGCCCACACCCGCTAACCGGCGTGAGGTCCTGGGAGAAATGTTCTACCTGATCCGATTTCCAGTCATGACTGTCATGCAAGTGGCCGACTTACCTGCAGATGTAAGGTTGCATATGTTTTACAGATGTTAGATTGCATATATTTACCGGCAATCCAGGCCAGGCTCGAGAATTAAGAAATTTGCCGAACCGGTGGGAAGCTGACTTATGCGTAAAATAACTAAATCGTGTGTATCTGTAGTTGTGTGTCGACACTGGCGAGTGTCGATAAAGTGTATAAAATTACTGCGTTTCGGTTGTGTACCACAAGCAAATGTTTAAGTAATAGTGGCTTGTTTGTAGAATGGATTGTTGGAGGCATCGGCGTTAGTGGAGATGCGGCACCATAAACATCGCTTCCCCACACGTCCCCGCCGGCTCCCGGTGATTCGCATCGGCGGCAAGGACTTCCGGCACAAGGAAGAGATCTTTTTCAAACGGCAGCCAAACTGGCGTCCGGCTGCTGTGATCGGAAAACGTGGATCCTCAGTCTTTATCCGCTCTAAAAACAGCAGTCAGGTCTACCTCATGCCGACAAGGAATCTAATTAGAGCGTCGGATATCTTGACTGCCAATCAGCACGTTCGACTCTCGATTCCCGGTAGTAAGGATCGTTACAAGGAGGCGCGATATGTCAGGCTGGAAGGGGGCTACCACATCGTCAAAGTGGGCCGCAAAGAACAGAAAGTTAAGTTCCGTCAGGTTTTCGTGGAACATGAGCGAGTAGAAACGTGGAAGAAAGCCAGTGATCAGAGCAGTAACCGGAAGAAAGATACCCCGTTAACGAAGAAGCGAAAACGGGATGCCGCTGACAGCCACGCGTTATCACGAGACAGCCCATAAATGCCGGAATATCTACTTTATTTTCTCCTAATTCCCCGGAACACCAAAACCAAACCAATGTCTTATCTGCAAACGAAAAGGTCGCCTATGTAACTGCCAGTGGCCATGCGGCTAGTTACAGGAAATTCGCGCCACCAGAACGTCGGGCCGGACTGCTGACTCGTCGCTCGATTGTAACAGATGTCTTCAAAAGTTCCTATTCGAAAATTATCTGCGTATTTCAATTAACCGTTTTTCAAGTTGGGTATTCTTCAGTTCAGAGCGCTTCCTATAATGCACTGTTTTACTTTTTTGCTATGCTTTAACGGAGTTTCCTGACATCTTCCAAAGAAAACGAAATTTTACTCACTCTATCTCATGATTTCATCCACCAAAATTTGTTAAACGTAAGTCATACACTATTACGGCATCATAACAACTGGCCAGGAAGTGTTTTGCCGATTTCCGCGCCTCCGCTTGAATCGAAACTTGGAGAGCCTGTTTCACTACAAACGTTCTTGAATATTTTATGTAGCTGTTGTATTAGTATTATTAAAGGTTTTTCTTAGTAAAACACGTTTTCCTGCTAACCAGGGGATAATTAAGTTCAATTCGGTGACCCCCACGACCGGGCTAAAAGCCCAATAGGTCGACCATTCAAAATCCGTTTAAGCCGAAAACACTTTCATTTATATAGAAGTAGTAAAGTACTGATTGTTTCACAATAGTTTGCCGCTTAAGATTGCCGGCATATTAATAATGTACAGATGCAGATATACGAGTATTATACAATCATATGCTTCGATAGCGATCGGTGCGTATAATGATGGTTGTTATCAAAAATGACGTGGGAACTGGAGCCTTTATGCGATTATGATGCCGGTGGCCTGTACTAAAAACGCGTATACGTACAGATTAAGAAAAAACACAGCGACGTCTTTACCACATTCTGCGGAAGTTCTCCTGGCAAATGCAACGATACCATCGAAATTCCCGGTATTCTTCCCAAAACTTTCGAAAATATGCTAAAGTAGGTACAGAGTTTGTAATGTGGGTGCGCTTCAACTTGTAAACTGATCCTACAGTTTTTTAAGGTCGACCATCAGTTTTTCATCGCCATTGATTGGTAGTAATATGTATATTCGTCGGCTTGTGCTTGATAGAGATATACATATTTATACCCATGAAACGGTGACGACAGCGGAGAATGTCTTTCCGACGCTCAAGTGCGCCGAAGTACGACTTGCCGCTGCTGGCAAAACACTGTTGTACACGCATCCTTACCGATCTCCATGCCATTTTCCGTAGCAGTGTTGTCTAGGGTTCTTTAGCTGTTGTGCGAACAGTACTTTTTTATAGGCTCTAAAATGGGCTGTGGATAACCCAAGTGTGGTGGAGAACTGCTGGCACTATGTGGACGTTCACTGTGAGGAGGTTCTCGAGTCGGAACGGTTCAATAAACTGCATCCCACCACACTGCACATGCTGCTACAGCGGGATAGCCTCTCGGCTGCGGGCTGTCTGAACAGCATTTACTTGGCGGGGGATCGGTAAGTCGGCCAAGCGGTATTCAGTAGTTTTGTGTGCCGGGCGCGTACTTCCCAATACGAAATAATGGATTTGTCCCGACCCCGATATCCTATGGATCCAAAAGCGTTGAGGAACGGTAGCAAAAAATTGCCTTCGCTCTACACCTTTTCTTTTGTGGCGTAGCAACACCAGCCGTATTATTCGAAGCTCTTGGTTGTTTTGGTCACTATGGTCAGTTAGAAAGTGCGTGACGTCGTGACACCTTGCCAGTAGATTTACTCAGCGGCACGGTTTTTTACTCTTTCTGTAAATCAGCAAAACAGAAAGTTATAAAGGAAACTACATAAGTAATTATTTACAGCTTTGGGAAGAGTAAAGACGTGCCTGTTGAAACTGACAGATTGCTGAAACATCCGTGAATGCGTCGCTTTATGTGTGCATGCTTATAATTTAAGATGCATGCTTATATTTCTCACCCGGTTAGCTATTATCATATTATGGTATGTTTTCAGTCGCGACAGAATCTTTGGTTTACGAGTGGAAGTACAGACAGTCGCCTCGAAAGTACGCTAATGTCGATTATGCCAACTGTTCAGATGGGCTACGGCTGCCTGCACTCGGAGCAATCTGGTGCCGTCGCCCGCTAACCGGCGCCAAGTCCTGGGAGAATGTTTCTTCCTGATCAGATTCCCGTTAATGACTGACATCCAACTGGCTGACGGTCCCGCTGACGTAAGGCGAATATTGAGTAAATACAACTCTCCCTCCAGTAAATATGGTTGAGATCGCTTCTATAGTGCCCTTTTTCTGTGTGGTTTGCTGGCGCCATCAGATCTAGGGGACATCTATCTGTACTAGGGTTGTTAACGGTGCGGTGCGGTGTACACCGGTGTGGCTTCGGTGCGGTTTTTTACAGAAATCGCACCTACTTAATCGGTGTAAAGCGAAAAACCGCACCGGACGGTGTCGTGAAAATCGAAAATCGCACCGCAATTTTTTACACCGCACCGCACCGGTGTACACCGGTGTAGCGCGCATCAGTACTGCAACAGCGAAATGTTACGCGCTCTGCGCTTTCCTCTTTATCCCACCGGAATTTTTGGGCTTAAGTTAAACTTCCTAAGCATCCCCAGCAGGATGTATCCAGTCGTAGCGAAACTGTTACAAAGACGTAAAACATCCAAAAGGGATTTCCAAAAAATTTCAATGACGAAAAAAATTGTAGAGCGTGGAAACTGTCAAACGCTTGCGCTACAGTGCTTCACATTTTCTTTCTTATGGTAGCCCGGTTGTTGCAGCAGCTACAGTATCAAGCCGATAATTATTCAAGCCAGCTTCAAGTACAGTACTGTATAACTTGTGAGTGAATATTCCAGAAGATGCGCAGAGTCAAAACGCGGACTTACATAGAGCATCTGCGACTTACATCGAAACGAGAAACAGGCGTACCAAGTCCCAATTGGCTGGGCTTCGATGTAAGTCGCTTTTTGCTCGATGTCTGTCGGTAGGCGTCGACGAAAACCGTTACGAACAGGGGCGTACCTTGTAACGGGTCTAAGCGACGCCCAGGTACTTACAAACTTCGTGTTTCCGCGATTTTTATTGGTGGGTCAGCATTCTGAGTTAGATCGAGGCTGCCCACCGCCAATAGCAAAATTCAAAACCACGTGATCGTTTCTCCATACTTTGGGCTGACAGCGACGGTTAAACAGTAAAACGACAGGGTTTTCCGTCTCTTTTTAAGTTCTTGTCTTCTAGTTAGTTGTTGAAATCAGAAATATAAAACTGATATGCATCTATAGTGCAGGAAGCCTGTGTTCTGGGAATCCAGATAAGACAGTGCAGTATAGTGTTTGGCCAGATGCACTCCTGTTTATACTGATCGCTTGCTACCTGATTATCGTTCAATTCAAAATAATTTGAATCCCACCGCAGCTGACTAGCGTATTACAAATTGATTCCGACTTGCCAAAGGTCCATGAATCCTTGTGGCTGTCTCTAACGATTTGTGGTATACTTGTCATGTATTACTGCCGTCGTATCGCAGGAACCCTGCGCGCTGGCTACCAGCTGTGGGTGTTGATTGCAGTGCATTCTGTGCTTGAATTCCTGATCGGATGTGGAAAACCGACTACGATTTATACTCCTGGACAACCCCATTTTTGGTTTTTCGTCCGTATATTTTGACAGAGAATTGTATGTTTTTCTTGACCGTGTGGCGGGTTCCGCTGTGATCTAGCTACCCGAAGTATTTTTAGTATATCTTGTTGTATTTTTTGTTTATTTTAGCTTAAAATAATACTGCATAGCAGTACCTTAGCGCGCCTTGTTTTGGTACTTTTAAACAGGTTATATGTCATTGTTTAACTTTTAGAAATGTAGTGCTACAGTTTATCGTTAGAAGCATAATGTCAGCACAGCACGCATATTAACTGTCAGTCTGTATGTGCTGACTGTTGTGCGCATGCGGTCGAGTTTAGCCCGTACATACATACATGCAAGACGCGTAAACGGGCGCGGTTTTGCGTTCGATGTCTGTATGTAAAGGGTGAAAAACGTTGTAAGTAAGTCCCCGAAGCGCCTATGCGCATCTGGTCTATTTTTGTACGTTACAGACTTACGCCCGTCATGGCCCGTGCGCTTATTAGGCGCGAATCCGGTGTGCACCGTCGTCTCATAAAATTTTTTCTTAAAATTACAATTTTACGATATCTTCGGTTAACCGGTGGTTAACCGGTGTACGTCAACGCGGTTACCCAAACGCACCGGTGTGCGCCGGTGTGGTTTTTCTCAAAAACCGCACCGCCTGCACCAATTTTTTTCTCAAAACTGCACCGCAATTTTTCCAAATTGCACCGGTGCACTGGTAAAAAACCGCACCGTTAACAACCCTAAGCGTAACTCGCGGTGTAACTCGAAATTCGGTTTCCCTGCATAAATAACTTAACTCTTAGCGCAACTCGCACGCTCCCTGTAACTCTTAACTCTGACTGTGGGTCGATTTTCCATAACTGCCCAGGTCTGCTGCGGACTATACTGGGGCAAAATAGCTTATGGCTATTTAAGCGCAGTGTGGGGCAAAATAGTAAAAGGCTATTTTGCCCCACATACTAAAGACAAAATAGCCAAAAGCTATTTTACTAAACACTGTGGGTAAAATAGCCACTTCGATAAAATTTTGCTGATATTCTGAAAATTTCGTTCGCTTAGAAATCCAGAAGTGCGTCTGAAATCGCAGTTTAAACTGGTAAAATTTCTGTGGCAACAGATTCCATCATGTGTCTTAATCCGACATCGGATACCAGCGGCATCAAAACCATCACTGGCAGCACGAAACACCGTGGCGGTGTTGGAGAGCTCGCAGATCGCATGAAACACATGTTGGCCAGCGGAGAGTTCACTGATGTGCAGTTCGTCGTGGGACGCCAATTTGGCCAAGATAAAGTGTTCTCTGCACACAAGTAACCGGTTTATTATCACCTGAGAGACCTAATTTTAATACGATGCAGGAATTTGTATCAGTTTTAAATTACGAAATTGGTATCAGTTTTAAATTAAATTACGATAGGTTCGAACTTCGACGTGAAATAACCGCAGTTTTTGCAGGAGTATTTTGTGTAACAGCAGCAAGGTGTTCTACAGCATGATTTGTAACAGCGTGGCTGAATCGTGTCCGTTGGTTATTCACTTTCCTGACATTCCTTCCGACGCGTTCGCCAACCTGCTCAGTTATGTTTACACTGATTCGGTGGAAGGCATCAACGAGACAAACATCTTTCCAACGCTGCACTGTGCTGACAAGTTCGGTTTGCCTTTATTGGTGGATGCCTGCTGCGAGTGCATCATCGGCTGCGTTACTAAGGAAAACTGCCTAACTATGCTGGAAAATGTTGGTTCTCCACGGATGATGTGCAACACAGTACACTGTAGTGACTGTACAATGAATAAAGTTCGACACATGCTTTTCGCTGCAGGTCAACCGTTGGTGCCCGGACTTGGACAACATTGTGGACAAGTGTATGGACATTGTCGATGAATTTGCCGACGCTATATTGCGCTCGGAGCAGTTCAACAGCATTGGTCATGACAGCCTGCTGATGATTCTCCAGCGTAACTCTTTGTCTGTTGATGAGAATGTCGTTTACGTGGCTGTAGAAAAGTAAGCGAATTTGTAATGAATTATTTAATCTTTTAAATTGACAAATTATTATACCGTTTAATAAAAATTAAATTTTTTAAATCATAGTTATTGAAACTTGACTTTTTCCTTATGATGTGTATGCAGCCTTGAACGGGGTCGAACCCCAGATTGTGTGCGGTGTTAAACTGTTAAATCTGAACTTATATCAATAACTATGCTGTACAGTTTGCGCTGAAATTCTGAATACCATATCCACCTTGTCTCGTAGTTGGTCGATGGAGGCTTGTGAGAAGCGCAGCCTGGAACAGTCCACCGCCAACCGTCGCGAAATGTTGGGAGCCGCGCTCTTCCTTGTCCGCTTCCCTTTACTCCAACGACATTGAACTCGCTGTTGGCCCTGTTCAGGTAATTCAGCCGTGGCTGATAATGATAGTCCCGTTCCTTCGATCACGATGTAGTGTTAAAGCAATTGACCTGGAGTACAGACCTGTATTGTATATTATTGGCTTTATTTAGCTTTCTGGCTGGCAGACTTATTACTGAATGAACTGTTGCAGGTCTGATAATATTTCTAGTCAACAGTTATAATGTTGCTAAGCATACATTACAAGCACTTGCTTGTAGAGTGCTTTACTGCTTTCGACGGAGCTGCGTGACCTGTTCCTCTATAAGCACGCTCCGGAAAAGCCGGCCCTCCCGTTCTCGACGGAGCCGCGCCGCTACATCCAGCACAACTTCGACCTGGATGCGTATAAGAACCGCGAAGCTGTGTTCGCGCAACACGCGACGATGGTGACTGGTATCCGGCCGAGTTTATTATGGAACTCGATTGTCAAAATATTATTATCCAGTGGTGCGGAAAAGGGCATGCGTTCAAATCGATGAGGACGATCGTCCGTGCGACCGATATTCTTCAGCGCGGCCAGCGGGTGCACTGCTTGCGGGGCGGGGCTACGTACTGTATGCGGCGCGGAGGAAAGCACGTGGTGGAGATCGACAGCCAGGAAGTAGCGGTTGATTTTGAGGATCTGACGGTGCCGTGGAAAGTCTGGCTACACTGGAAAGTTAAGGAAATCGCGCAACTGTGATGACTCCCCGCCGACACCAGCGTCGAGCGAAATGTATAGTGTTTTTAGTATTCGTACTGTATTGCTTTGTATGATTATTTCGTAACTGATAGTGAGATTCGTCTCATGGATTGCAGCATAACGCGTTATTCTTTACCGGCTCGGTTGACAAGAAGCGGAAGACCAGAGCGGTTTTATTCATTTTTGTTTCTTGCTTGGAATCGTTGTTTTTGTTGTACCTGGTTCACTTTATTCTTCATAAAGGAATTTCTGTTCGAAGTGTTGATTGTCTTCGTCTCGTATGGTAAAATTAATTAGCGTTTGGAAACAGCCGCGAAATGACAGAAACGGTCATATTATGCCGTATCGGTTAAAGTAACGGCAACGCTGTGCACCCTGCATTTAAGATAACTACTGCTGTTAAGCGAATAGAATTCTCGAGCATTAAAAAAAGCCGAATACTCCCCCCATTCTTCCGGTACCGGAATGGGGATTATCTCACCCGCGGAGCCGTAGACCGGTTTTTGAAATTACTGCTGAAAGATCACCCGGATTGCGCGCGACTGAGCACGCACAGCTTCCAGCATCGGAGCCGCTACGGAAGCCGCGGAGCAACAACTCCCAAAGGAGGAAGTCCAGCGCGCCGGGAGGTGGAAGAGCAACTGCGTGGAGCGGTACATCCGAGTAGCTTGTTTGTGGGGCGAAGAAGCCGGGTACCGGCGGAGGTGCAGGAGTGAGCGACCTGTTCCCACAGGTAAGATCCTCAGCTGCAATTGCGCACCTCCGGCCATGCCGGCACACTTCAAACTCCAAAACCGCACGCGGAAGTCGCCTCTCACACCATCGAACTCCGGAACCACATCGCGAATTAAAGGCTAATTCAAATTGCGGCTTTACACAATATATGCACATGATAAAAGTCACAGACAGTAGCCGCCACTCACTGGCCTTACATAATGCCGCCGGATAACCAGATTAATGCAGGGAACGGCCCATGTACAAGCTGGGGATCATTACCGGCTGAATTGCATTAAACATTTTATTTTTAGTCTTAACTGAAATAGGATATTCGATACATGTATCTTCAAGACAAGATTCAAATCGTGTAACACTTCACGCTCCATTTCCGGGTCGGGAGTGTCGGACCAGTACCGAGTCGTACGTAGTAATAATCAATAATAGTATTGTAATTTGTAACAATATCTCCCTGTGTTGTAAATATGTTATGTGAATACGTTGCAATTGACTACACAATCTTCAGTGTCTACAGTAGAAAAGGGAATGACAAACACCAATGCATTTTCTTCGTGATCGGTGATTCGTTTCCAAACACGTACTCTACGGTAGGTGATACCGAATATTTCACCTTCATGATTTCATGATTTTCATCAACTGGATTCAGACGCACCCGCCTGGCTGGCAGTCTAATCGTGAATGGACATTGGTCTATGGAATTTTAACGGAGCCGCAGTCACGGACGGCCGCCTCGGTGCACTTTCTGATAAATGCTGACCTCGTGCGGTCAGCAGTTTGACGAATGATCCAATGATCTGTTTTCGGCGTGCACTGTGCACATCAAGAATTCCGTCAGTGCAATCCTGCAGCAGATCTTCGTCAGCAGTTCTTGGCTATGGACTTTGATCTTCTTCACTTCTTTGGTGATTTCGGCGTTGAGTTGTTTGTGGGATTCTCTTGCCTGGTGATCTTGCAGTGATTGGCAAAACGTTGTTAAATTTTGAATCTATTACGAGCTTGCACGAAGGCATCTGTATCCGATATCGATAGCTGCCTGTGTTATACGTTATAGAGAGCAGAAGGACTTCGCTCCGTTTCACTGCAGGCATGTCGAAAACGGCGCCACGCTCGACAAAAGCAAAAGCCAGCACCCCACGACGGGGCCAGATTGACGGGGTCATCAAGCGGTTGGAACGCATGTTGGAGAGCGGAGATCTGAGCGACGTCCAGTTCTCCATAGGACGGGATGTCGGACCAGTGAAAATCCTGAACGCACACAAGTGAGCTCAATAGTCATTACCCACTTAATCCGCGTATTACTGCGAACCGTATGAATGCAGTCCTTTGCTGATCCGTACTTTTGAACAGGTTCGTGCTCAGCAGCGCCAGCGATGTGTTTTACATTATGTTTAACGGGAGTCTGCCCGAGAACCGCAACGGTCCCATAGATATTCCGGATATCCCTCCTCAAGCATTCCAAAATATGCTGAAGTAAGTATGACTTCGCAATCTGCCGGAGTTTAAATTATTAGAACCAGTCCAGAATTAAAGTGTCAGCGAACCAGCGCCACTGGTTCGCTGGTTCGTCTGAAAGCTGGTTCGTCTGAAACTACGTTTTTGTGGGTAAAAGTCGAAGATATGTACTGCGACAGGTACATCTACACCAGCGAAGCAGGTGACATTGGATGATGTCTATGCGACAATGCAGTGCGCCGACAAGTACGATTTGCCACTACTGACTGACTTCTGCCTTAATTACATCATGCAGAATCTCATCGCGGACCACGGCAACACAGCCCGATACCTACTGCATCTGGAACATGTATGTCTGCTTAAGACTGCCCTTGTGCATGCGCCGCAATTGACAGTAGTCTCGCTGCTTGACATTTATTCGATTTTTCTGCAGGCACTGACCTGGGCCGTTGGATTTGATAGTGTGGTAGAAAACTGTCTGCATTACGTAGACGTGCACTGCAAGGAACTCTTCAAAATGGAAGAATTCAGTGAACTACAGCCCAGCACGCTGCGCACTATTCTGGAACGCGATACGTTGTTTGCCAACGAAAACCTCATTTGTGTGGCTGTGGATCGGTAAGGTGACTAAGGTCTAGCTAAAGATAGATTGCAGATGCGTTCAGGCCCGCGCTGGGGGTTTTTGGTAGGGGGCCAAAAATTGAAAACGAGAGGGGTGGCCGCCCCCATCGCCCCCCTTCAAAGCGGGCCTGGATGTAATTAATAACCGGGATCCGTGCAGTTATCGTTTTATTTTCGCAGATGGGCGGTAGCTGCTTGTACTCGGGGCAATTTGGAGCCCACACCCGCTAACCGGCGTGAGGTCCTGGGAGAAATGTTCTACCTGATCCGATTTCCAGTCATGACTGTCATGCAAGTGGCCGACTTACCTGCAGATGTAAGGTTGCATATGTTTTACAGATGTTAGATTGCATATATTTACCGGCAATCCAGGCCAGGCTCGAGAATTAAGAAATTTGCCGAACCGGTGGGAAGCTGACTTATGCGTAAAATAACTAAATCGTGTGTATCTGTAGTTGTGTGTCGACACTGGCGAGTGTCGATAAAGTGTATAAAATTACTGCGTTTCGGTTGTGTACCACAAGCAAATGTTTAAGTAATAGTGGCTTGTTTGTAGAATGGATTGTTGGAGGCATCGGCGTTAGTGGAGATGCGGCACCATAAACATCGCTTCCCCACACGTCCCCGCCGGCTCCCGGTGATTCGCATCGGCAGCAGGACTTCCGGCACAAGGAAGAGATCTTTTCAAACGGCAGCCAAACTGGCGTCCGGCTGCTGTGATCGGAAAACGTGGATCCTCAGTCTTTATCCGCTCTAAAAACAGCAGTCAGGTCTACCTCATGCCGACAAGGAATCTAATTAGAGCGTCGGATATCTTGACTGCCAATCAGCACGTTCGACTCTCGATTCCCGGTAGTAAGGATCGTTACAAGGAGGCGCGATATGTCAGGCTGGAAGGGGGCTACCACATCGTCAAAGTGGGCCGCAAAGAACAGAAAGTTAAGTTCCGTCAGGTTTTCGTGGAACATGAGCGAGTAGAAACGTGGAAGAAAGCCAGTGATCAGAGCAGTAACCGGAAGAAAGATACCCCGTTAACGAAGAAGCGAAAACGGGATGCCGCTGACAGCCACGCGTTATCACGAGACAGCCCATAAATGCCGGAATATCTACTTTATTTTCTCCTAATTCCCCGGAACACCAAAACCAAACCAATGTCTTATCTGCAAACGAAAAGGTCGCCTATGTAACTGCCAGTGGCCATGCGGCTAGTTACAGGAAATTCGCGCCACCAGAACGTCGGGCCGGACTGCTGACTCGTCGCTCGATTGTAACAGATGTCTTCAAAAGTTCCTATTCGAAAATTATCTGCGTATTTCAATTAACCGTTTTTCAAGTTGGGTATTCTTCAGTTCAGAGCGCTTCCTATAATGCACTGTTTTACTTTTTTGCTATGCTTTAACGGAGTTTCCTGACATCTTTCCAAAGAAAACGAAATTTTACTCACTCTATCTCATGATTTCATCCACCAAAATTTGTTAAACGTAAGTCATACACTATTACGGCATCATAACAACTGGCCAGGAAGTGTTTTGCCGATTTCCGCGCCTCCGCTTGAATCGAAACTTGGAGAGCCTGTTTCACTACAAACGTTCTTGAATATTTTATGTAGCTGTTGTATTAGTATTATTAAAGGTTTTTCTTAGTAAAACACGTTTTCCTGCTAACCAGGGGATAATTAAGTTCAATTCGGTGACCCCCACGACCGGGCTAAAAGCCCAATAGGTCGACCATTCAAAATCCGTTTAAGCCGAAAACACTTTCATTTATATAGAAGTAGTAAAGTACTGATTGTTTCACAATAGTTTGCCGCTTAAGATTGCCGGCATATTAATAATGTACAGATGCAGATATACGAGTATTATACAATCATATGCTTCGATAGCGATCGGTGCGTATAATGATGGTTGTTATCAAAAATGACGTGGGAACTGGAGCCTTTATGCGATTATGATGCCGGTGGCCTGTACTAAAAACGCGTATACGTACAGATTAAGAAAAACACAGCGACGTCTTTACCACATTCTGCGGAAGTTCTCTGGCAAATGCAACGATACCATCGAAATTCCCGGTATTCTTCCCAAAACTTTCGAAAATATGCTAAAGTAGGTACAGAGTTTGTAATGTGGGTGCGCTTCAACTTGTAAACTGATCCTACAGTTTTTTAAGGTCGACCATCAGTTTTTCATCGCCATTGATTGGTAGTAATATGTATATTCGTCGGCTTGTGCTTGATAGAGATATACATATTTATACCCATGAAACGGTGACGACAGCGGAGAATGTCTTTCCGACGCTCAAGTGCGCCGAGAAGTACGACTTGCCGCTGCTGGCAAAACACTGTTGTACACGCATCCTTACCGATCTCCATGCCATTTTCCGTAGCAGTGTTGTCTAGGGTTCTTTAGCTGTTGTGCGAACAGTACTTTTTTATAGGCTCTAAAATGGGCTGTGGATAACCCAAGTGTGGTGGAGAACTGCTGGCACTATGTGGACGTTCACTGTGAGGAGGTTCTCGAGTCGGAACGGTTCAATAAACTGCATCCCACCACACTGCACATGCTGCTACAGCGGGATAGCCTCTCGGCTGCGGGCTGTCTGAACAGCATTTACTTGGCGGGGGATCGGTAAGTCGGCCAAGCGGTATTCAGTAGTTTTGTGTGCCGGGCGCGTACTTTAATACGAAATAATGGATTTGTCCCGACCCCGATATCCTATGGATCCAAAAGCGTTGAGGAACGGTAGCAAAAAATTGCCTTCGCTCTACACCTTTTCTTTTGTGGCGTAGCAACACCAGCCGTATTATTCGAAGCTCTTGGTTGTTTTGGTCACTATGGTCAGTTAGAAAGTGCGTGACGTCGTGACACCTTGCCAGTAGATTTACTCAGCGGCACGGTTTTTTACTCTTTCTGTAAATCAGCAAAACAGAAAGTTATAAAGGAAACTACATAAGTAATTATTTACAGCTTTGGGAAGAGTAAAGACGTGCCTGTTGAAACTGACAGATTGCTGAAACATCCGTGAATGCGTCGCTTTATGTGTGCATGCTTATAATTTAAGATGCATGCTTATATTTCTCACCCGGTTAGCTATTATCATATTATGGTATGTTTTCAGTCGCGACAGAATCTTTGGTTTACGAGTGGAAGTACAGACAGTCGCCTCGAAAGTACGCTAATGTCGATTATGCCAACTGTTCAGATGGGCTACGGCTGCCTGCACTCGAGCAATCTGGTGCCGTCGCCCGCTAACCGGCGCCAAGTCCTGGGAGAATGTTTCTTCCTGATCAGATTCCCGTTAATGACTGACATCCAACTGGCTGACGGTCCCGCTGACGTAAGGCGAATATTGAGTAAATACAACTCTCCCTCCAGTAAATATGGTTGAGATCGCTTCTATAGTGCCCTTTTTTCTGTGTGGTTTGCTGGCGCCATCAGATCTAGGGGACATCTATCTGTACCGTTACAAGCACGCCACGACAAAACGCCCGTTACGCTTCCCGACTCAACCTCGCCGGCCCCCCGGTCATTCGTATTGGTGATGTCGAATACCAGCACCGGGAGGAAGTTTTCCTTCCTGATGGGCACGTCTGGAGTCCTGCTGTAGTGATCGGAGCACGGGGATCGGATGCCGTCTGTATAACCTGGGAAGATGAGGACGATCGAATACCAGGTAAACCGAGGGCCGGAAAAGATCGTTCGTGCAACGGACTACTTAACTGCCGACCAGCACCTACCATACAGGAGTGAAGACTGTAACAAAGAAGCCAGGTATAGCAGATTGGAAGACGGCCGCCATGTTATTGGTAATTAGATTGGGCAGCAAAGAGTGTAATGCGAAATTCAACGAGATTTGCTTGCAACATACACTGGTGGCGGATGAAATCTATGGAGACCTGCAGAGGGATGGTCCAATACTGGCAAGTGCAAGACAGCGTACATATACAGCGTCCTGACGTGAATTAAAGACCTAACACAATGAAGCGGGTTCTATATCCACTTGTCCGACCACGTCCAGTCGGATAGAGCGACTCTGTCTCAAACTGTTACGGGAGACGGTAGAAGATTATGTTGATCTGGTAAAGTAAGAAAGGAAAAGAAGAAGAGGTCCGGGTTCTGCAAACACAAGAAATACACACGACGGAGAAGTATACGTTACCTGTCCGACGCTACCCTAGATGTTAGCAGAAGCGATAAGAGAGATATCCATCAACCTGGCGATACAGGGCATGAAGATCGAAGGGACCGCAAGGTCAAGGCAAATCAAGTGGGATCAAGTGGGTAACCTATTACGTCACGAGACTATCCGAAGATGATAATGCACGTCGACGAAGTAGAGGAATGACCCCTGACAATAGGTGAAAGGTCACCCAGCGGTCAGTTTGAACTGCCTCACTTGGAAAGATAAGACCAGAGCAAAAGCCTGAAGTTAATCAGATCGAGTAACAAGACTCTACTTTTGTTGGGATTACAACTCTTGACATTTGTGTGGGCGACGAGCGCCTTATATAGCCCTGGGCACACGCAGGTGCGGCTCTTCGTACGCGCAGGTACGGGTCTGAGAACAATAGGGATCTAAACTCTAGCCAATAGAAGACATCTGAGGACACGTGGACTAATCACACCGCTGCATCACTACACGTGGACTAATGAGAACATGAGGTCAACTAATACACTAGAACAATAGGTTGAGCTACGTCATCGAAGCGCGGTCACGTCGAAATGGCAAGTCGCGGTCAAAGTTCTCTGCTGGGGATTTCTGAGAAGTCGATACTCGGAGTCGCGGTCATGACTCGCGTAGAAGCTGTAGTAAGGAGTAAGCCTAAGCCTTGGGGTAGTAGTAGAGTAGTACGATGTGGACGGGGCTGGTACGCCCGTACACGTCAGTCCATTACGCGCACAGACAATCACCAGGTACGCATATTTTCCCCCTTGGGCAATCTTTGCACTTCGACGCTGAGTCCGCTGATTTCCACGGGCAGTAGTGGGCGTAAGGTTGGCCTTGAACCCAGACATTGCCACTAGTAATAAACACAACGAACTATTTTACTTTCCTTATCCTTTTCATCCCATATATGCCTGATTGTAGCCACCAGAGACTGAACTTTGGCTGCATCCTGGAGGATATTCTAACACATCATAGAAATGCACAAATTTCTGTATAAAATCCTATAGCTACACATCAAGTCTAAAACTGACAGTCTAAAACATACGAATCCAATATTAATAAGTAAAATATCACATTATTGATGCAACATATTCAACGGCCAGTTAATTACTGCAATGCTCTATTTTTCAAACTTAAACAGTGTTCTAATAAAAGAAAAGGTCACTGCAGCAAAACATTTGACTTTAAAGATGCCGTGTCTGTCTGGTTACACGTTTGCTGCGATATTGCACAGGGAACATCGATAAATTATTTATGGGTGCGACTTGTGACTTGATAATACATACGAGGAGTTTTTCTGGCATCTGGTAGTGATTGTCCATCGTCGGGATTTAAGAAATCACGCGTATCCCCACAGGTATTTGCAAAGTTGTGCGCGTTACTCGCAGCACATGCATCCCAAACCAGTTTCTGCATAATCGTGGCGTTAACCGTTCGAAGATAGTTATTATGCGCATTCAAAATTTCCAGAATTTCAGAAGTGGACAGTGTTGGGGCAATTACCGGGTAGGCGATATTGTCAGGATACTCTGCACCAACGCACTCACCTGTACTGCCAACTGGAAGGGTAGTATCCGTTTGTGCGGCACAGCC